ATGATAGATATTGCTGGTATATGATCATAGGTCGCTTATCAATAATTTCACATTATAATATATGAACTATTTATTATTGTGATGTCAGCATCGATGGAAGGTAACCATTTTTTCAATAACCCCTGATAGAAACCTGCATTTTTCATCAGTGGAAAGAGAAAAATATTTTTTATAAAAATAGGTAAAACTTTGATTTTCCATCTATAGATCAATTAGGTGAACTCTGGGTAAAGATTTTAAAAACGATGTTCTAAAGGTATTTCCTATTGAAATTTAACTTGTAATGTGACCATTCGATAAAAAATGGTTCGCTTTTGATCTATACAAAGCCGAGTTCTATAGGTTGTTCCACTCTTACGATTTTCGAACTTGGTCAAATAACCTCCAATCAAGCTATCTCATAGAGCAGGACACAAGTAATTAATCTCACAAGTCTTAGAATATATGAAAATTCAATTGGAGTAAAATGATTTTCTAAGAAATTTTTGCCAGAAATACATTTTGGAAAAATATGATCGCAAATATTATTTTGATGCTGATCGACCGCCTAACAACAGACTTACAAGTAAAATGCTATTCTCAATATGGTGGCCCTTGGTCTTAGTATTCAACAGTTTTCAACTGAAATCACTAATCATTTTCAAGTTCGATACTTCTCATACGACATAGATATTATCGAAGAATTGCCAGGTGTCAAAAAGCTCTTTTCATCTCTAAATCTATGTTGAAGTTTAGTGATGTGTAACGAACTTGAAAGTAAATGATGTTTTCAATTTAAAACTTTTCAACAACAAGGCTGATAAGAAAAAAATATTTTTAGAATAGTGTTTCACATTGAATTTCATTCTTAGGTATAGTGATGGCTCAGATATGAATTTTCAAAGTGTCAAATCGTTTGTCAATCGAGATTATATTCATTTAATGAGTACTAGTAATTAATAGAAAAGTCTAAAATAGTTTGATTTTTCAAGCCTTCAGTTCTTGAAATATCGAAAATTGCTTGAGTTATTCTACAAAAAGTTAGAATAGTTCTTAAACTTGCTAATTCAATAAGTACACATTGTTTAGTAGATCTATAAATTGACAAACCTTGTATAACTTGAACATTTAAATATTAAAAAAAGAATAAACAGATTTCTCGTATGTTATTCAATATCTCATTATGAAATTCTGACTAGTGTTTTCTTTTATTTTATTTTTGAAGATAATTAATTTATAAATCTATAGATGAAAGTTTAATGTTTTATCTCTGAGTTTCAATAATCTCTAAATTTTTTTAAAGTCAATTGTTATAGTATATATAAGTATGACTTAATAGGACAGTATGCATTGAGACCTATATTAAAATCTATTCACTTACCAATATTTCTATATAAAATGTTTCTAATGACAGTTATATCAAACCAATAAAAAAATGCATTAGACAACTATTTAGACGAATAGTTATTTGTTTTTTTTTTTTGTTTTTATATCCACATGGATGCCCATATGTAAATAATTTCTATGGTTGACTTGATAAAAGAATAGGAAAAAAAAATAACTGAAAAAGGTAATTCGAGAGATACAGGGTGTCACGAGGAGAAAAAAATTGGGGAGTCGACAATTTTTTTTGAAAATTATCGAGCAACAAAAGACACGAAATTTTCAAAGATAGGGGTGTCCTTCCGTCCTCCCGCAGTTCACGACAGTCCTGAAGAGATAAAAGATATTGCAATAATAGTTAAAATAAATTTCGTCAATATTAGAACAATAATTAATATACTTTCCTATTATTCATAGAAAAGAAATCTTCATATAAGTCAAAATCAGGTTTTTTTTCTAAGTTTTATGTCACATAGAATATTTCTCTTTTGTATCGTTCTCTAAAACTGATTCATGATTAGTGTTCGGTTTTTTCCCTGGAAGAAAAACAGGTTGTCATCATAATATTACTCATTAAAAGAAATCCATTGATCTCATTAGATATTATACACACATTTAAAAAATCGATGATATCGAATGGATGACTCTTATGTGCATAAAATGGCAGTGATGCGTGTAGCACAGTGGAGAGCCAGGCGGACATATGCGAAAATTTTATTTTCCAGAATCTAACCGTTTGTGTAGATACATGCATATGTGATCTATCATTTCCTAAAATAGCGGTTCTCAAAGTTTTATAGAGCCCATGAAAAGAGCCAGCCAAGGCTTGGGCCCAGAAATCAGCATAAATGAAAAAAGTCAAGCCGTTCGGCAATATAACACAATATTCCACAAGCAAACAATATCGCAAAAAACTTGCTCACCTATGGACTTTATGATTAAAAAAAATTATCGTAATCTAATTTAAAATAGAGTAGAAAACAAGGAGTCTCTATGCCGAAAACCTACCGTTCCGTATATTAAAAACCCTACAAAGGGGTAACGTCCGATCAAGCTGAAATTTTTACCAGATACTCCTGGCTATGTATCCCAATTATGGTAGTAGCATCAACTCGTGAAACATTTCCTAGGCTATTCTACAGGATTCTCAAAAACCCACGGTTTTTGATCGAAAATCCGGCTTTAGGCTTTCATTTTACGTTTTAAAGAAAAACTAGGGTGATATTTGGAATTAGCTCGTCGAGCTGCATCAGACAATATATAAAAAGAGTCACTTTTGTGAAAGTCATTTTTTGATGGAATTTGGCGGAAAACGACCGATACAGGTTTTTGACCGAAAAATCCAGTTTTAGGGATTCATATTACATTTTGAAGAAAAACTAAGGTGATATTCGGAATCAGCGCATCAAACTACATCGAATGATATGTAGCTCAACATATTTTTCAAAAAAACAATTTTTGGATAATAAAAGACTGAGGTCCCCCAGCCATATTTTTTCGAAAAAATTGTTTTTCTTAAAAACGATTTTCTGAGTGGTATACTGTCATTTCTAGTCAAATGAAAGCCATTCCTAAGCAAAAAATACCGCATGTCCGCCTGCTTATGCGAAAGCTCCCCACTGTGGGTATATTCCTTTGTCAGTCATAACAAAGATACTGTTTGTGCTAAATCCAAAAACATACTATCCTTTATTACTACGCTAAAAAAACCTACAACTGACAAGAATATTAATACATACATGAATTTGATATTTTTTTGTCAAGATGAAATAAATGTAAAATCATCATATTAAATAATTAATTATTAATTCATGCTTCTGTAAATTAATTTGCATTTCTTAATGTCACCTAATCTTCAATTTATTTTTCTTAGTATTTTTCGTGGTAGAGAAAAGCTGCTTTATAGTTATTTTTGATACATATTTTTCTTAGTATTAATAGCTGCAAAATATTCTTAGCCGAAATAGACTGACTAAAATAAGGTTACATACATAATTCTTTTATCTTGACCTTTAAAGTTTTTATAGAAAGGAAAACAAAATATAAAGAAACATGTCTAATAATGTTTATTTTGATACAAACTCTTTTATACAAATCTATGAATTTTTACAATCAATATTTATTCAACACATGATAACATTAAGAATGATAGTATACAAGGAAAAAGTGACAACGAGAAAAGATGGAGTAGGACCACTGCTTAGCTGCCAAATTTGAATAAGGCGTAACGTACCCCATTGACCGATTTGTATACCTATTATACATCCGATTACTAGACACGATGATGCAGGCTTGTATAATTGTAATGTAAAATAAACAGAAAAATATGCTGTTATAAATATTAATAAAATTAGGATTTCATAGAATCTGATTTAAAATAAATTCAAGAACATGTTTTTTTCTCGTTGCTATAGAATGTTAATTCTGCTAATGATAAATAAATGTCTTAAACGACAAATTCTTGTTGTAATCTTTACGCTTTCAAACATGTGCTAAATGATTAATCATAGTGATTTGTAGAACTAAAACGATGAACATATATTCTATTTTGTGCATGTGTTACATTATCTTAACCTTTTCTAATAGGAAAAAAAGCTTGTTAGCGCAGCTCCTTTGGAGCTGAAATGTGGAACTCACATATATCCTTAAAACCTAATATTCTGATGCATCATATGTAAACTGAAAAATTTCGTGTGTATTGTAGTTGTTTTCATTGATAATCAATGATACGAGCGAGACTTTATTATTTATTTCTACATTTAAAACAGAAATTTTTTTTTGTTTGAGACCGCCCTATTTTTATTTTGGATTGTTGCTATTTGCTCATTATCTTTCATTTTTTTTAAATTGTTTTTCGTAATTCAACATTCTCATTATTATAATCATTGAATTAATTAGCAAATAAATCTGTTTTACAGATCCATGATATCTACAGAAGATCTTACACACTATTATATATATTAATCAGCTCACAAACAATGATGTTGATTATCTTTGAAAATTATAACTTAATCAATTTTTCAAGAAAACTAGAAAGTCTGATGCCTGTTATTCTTAATTACTAAGGTCTGTAATGGGGGGGGGGGGCGGAGCTCGGAAGAGTTGTAGATTTCCGTTGTTTTGCTTCTGTAGTGGGGGGGGGGGGGGGGGGGGGGGGGAAGCCGCCAAAACTTGAACTTAAAACTTACACTCACTATTTTTTCTTCGAAAATATACGTGAGTTCCACAAAAAATATATATTTTAATAAATATAAATAAATATTTATTAAGCATTTAAAAAAATATATATTAATAAATATAAATAAATATTTATTAAATATTAAAAACTATATATATAAATAAATATAAATAAATATTTATTAAATATTAAAAAAAATATATATTAATAAATGGTAAAAAATTATTAATTATTAATTACTAATTCACTGTTTTAATAATTAATTCATTTTTTGTAACGCCCTGTGATGCGGGAGCTTGCTGCTATGGAAACATATCCAATAATGTATGGTTTCGCGCCATATAGTTGCTGATGAGCCATAGGAAAGCAGCCAGTTCCTATTCTCTTCCGTTGCTAGGGAATACACCCAATGACCTTTGACCTTTGACCCCGGTTGCTAAGTGCCTGTAATGGAGGAGGCCTAGGGGGGGGGGGTGGGGGGAGCCGCCAAAACTCGAACTTACAACTTACACTCACTATTTTCTTCGAAAATATATGTGAGTTCCACAAAAAAGGAAAACAAAGTTTAATAATAAACCATGTATATATGCTATACATTGCATATCTTATCTAGAATGGGAATCAGCAATCAATACGTCATAACTAACAGACATACACTGAGGTAAAAATTATCCGTATGATTTTGACAACGATAATATTTCTCGTTGTCCGTGATTTGTAAAACTTTAATGATTATCAATTATCGAAGGACTTGAGATAGGGTGTGGATGTGGATGTGACAAAGAAGAATATCAATACCCACATCCGCAACATTGTTCATTTCGTACATGACAAACGATAGATTAGAGTGATCACGGATTTTTTATTTCATGCTATCAACATACATACGACTGACAAAGGTTTCTTTCATGAAATATATTAAACTGATATGTAAGCAAATAGACAGTTAAGGCCCCAAGGAACGATCCAGCTTGAGTCAAGATGCCAAACCAATAAAGTCCTCGATGGCCTGAAGTGCGTTTTACATAGTTAGCAATGGTGATACGGATGAAACGAAATACACAATACATTGTCACCCAAGCAAGAGCAATCAAAACACTTCCGGATGTTTGATCGATCAGGGGTGAACAAGGAGAAAGTTTGGCTGTGCTGAAAATATAAGCAAACAGAGTTGTACCAATAATAGTTAGAATATAGAGTACAATAGTTGGAGTACGTTTCAAGAAAATCGCAATAAGTAGCATAAGTGGACCAGAAAATTGACAGGCGATGATTGTTTTGTGATAGACGTCGATAGAGTATGGATAGAGGGAGAATGCTAAAATGATACAAAACAAATTTGACAATAAAAACAATCGATCCACTCACTTTGTAGACTTGGAGCAGCGCCTAGATGAGAAAGAAAGAAAAAGAGTTCATACGTATTATTTTTGTTTCAAAAATTTTTCTCTATACTGAAAAGTATTATTTATCTAATAGTTTACGAAAGAATTCAGAAATCGAAGAGAAAATTGCATCAATGAAACAACAATGAAGAACAATTTTTATAAAAATATCTCTAAAAATTACTTATTCCCAATAAAACGTATTCTTCAATACACACCGATATTAAAGAGGCTCGCCAAAAAAATCATCATCAAATAGCTGCCATGTATAGAAAACCAAAATTGTTTGTAAGTCATTCGTCTGACTGGTGTTTCACTATGTACATCGCTTTCGCTCAGATCATTGGTCGATGATAGCGATGACATTTCACTGGTTAGTGACCTAAAACAAAAGGATTACCGTTTTATTTCATTCGAATCACAACATGATCGTGCCAAACAATTCTAAATTTTTTTTCTATAAATTTCTCCATTGGCCGATTATGAGGAGTTTCTGCGAGTTGATATAAATGTTTTCTCTTATCTTTGAAACAGTCAGATTCTATGTATCCTTACAAATTTAATTCGAAAGTTTTTAATTACTGGTAAGATTCGCTTATAAGAAAAAAACTAATTTCATTAAAACCTTCTCTGAGTATCACTGGCTTTGTATCTGCCAATACTCGTTGAGCACAGTATAATAAACGCCAGGAACGAGCAAATTATGATCACTGATAAACAGATCAAGTAAACTTGAACCGAAAAAAGAGGTGGAGTATGAATGCTTGTTCCATTTTGACAGGTCTCTTCACCGATGCCTTGAGCGAGTCCGAGCAATCCGGGTAACAAACTTGAGAGTGCTTCGCCAAATAAAAATCCATTGAGAAAACGAAGCTCATATCGACTGAGAAACGGCATGAATGTTGCATTCGAAATAACATCAACGAGAGCTAAACAAAACGATAGACCCATAAGATAAGTGGAATGACGAGAACCGGCAATGATTGATGTCTTGTTCCAGACAAAGGCGAGAGCGATAAGAGCACCAGTGCCGATCGAATATACACCAATATTGACAGGAATTTCGTAAGCAACCTGACCTCGGGAACACCATCGGATAAAAGCTATAAGAAAGAGAGCTACAGTGCCACTATTCGCAATGAGACCCATGATGGCGGGCAAACGCCAGCCCTCGGGAGCCTGAGGTACGATAAGCGGAAATTCAAGGAAGACACCCTGAAGATTGAGCCATGTACTCACACCAAATAGAGTGACAAGAATATAGACAAGCGGAGTAGTGATGCGAGATGACCACATGTGTTTGTTAGATGAATGTTTGCACGAATGACTTGTTCTATAAAAGATAAGAAATGACTCGTTATCATCTTACCATAGGTGAAAACAGGGTCGATGCAGAATCTTTTTTTTTCATGTAACCATATAAAAAAAGTTATATATCGGTCCTTTTTTCACTTATTATAACATGATAACAAGTTGTCTTCTATCTTTCAAGTAATCAAGCATGTTTTTGGTGTCAGTATTTTATCTCACGATGATAAAGAAGATTCGACAATTCATTAAATAATAAATATAAAATGAAATATAAGCCTGCTACAGTTGCCATACTAAAGGATAACCCATAATAAATTATCTGTCTTTGCACTTGATATTTATGACTTATTTAATACGTTTTATTTCATACAAAATATATCATAAAATACACCGAAGTGTGCTCAATATTTTGCACTGAAACTTTATTTTGTATGCTACTTTAGTTTTCTAAATAACTAAATAAAATTTGACGTTACCAATTTTCTATACTGCGCATGCGCACAAGACAATATTTTAGCACACAAGCATAGCATACATAATAATTCAAGATGTTTAGATCAGAATTATCTCGTAGCCATGTATTATTGTCTATGAAATGAGTGAAGTTTTGCTCATATCATGAGAGTGAATCTTTGTGCTTATGTGGCGTATCGTTCTCTTGTTGATGAATGAAATCAGTGGCGGACCCAACCAGTATGGTTTTTTTTTCGTTTAGTGCTGATTGCCATGAGTAATTGCTTCTGGCATCCAGCACAGAATGAAAGAAGCGTAAAATGTGGCTGTGGATGTGAACACATCCATATATTTAATGATGATGTATATAGGATGAAGAATGTTCTTTCCAATTGAGTATTGAAAGTAAAATATTTGTCAACCGTAAGAAATTTAATTATTTTTTTTTCTCCTACATTTCTATGACATGATATATTTTAAACAGCTTACTAAAAAAGAATTAGATCCATTTGTAGTGCCTAGAGATAGTAGTTCAAAATTAAGAAAATTGATAGTTCTGGCAATAGACACTATTTTACGAAACTTGAGGGTGTGGGTGTGTGGATGTCAGTACTCTGTTCCGTCAAATCCACACCCACACTCACAGATGTTGTATGCATCTATAGCATGAATTTTATATTTTAAAAGCGTGTACGAAGTTCTATAGCCAAATGACAAACTTTTACATATTGGGATAACATAATGAAATTATTTATTTATTGAATGAAAAACATTAAAAAACTAATGGTTTTTATTTATTTCCTGATTAAACTGACTTTATCGATTAAAATCAGCACTTTCACTCTTAAGTTTCAGATATATCTTTCACAATGATATAAATTCTAAAGACATTTCGGAATATCAAATAGTATCCCATGTTATTGTTATTCTATTAAAATCAATTATTCTATAGCTTTCTAAAGTATATTATGTTCTATAATAATTACCAAAATATTAAAGTTAAGAAAGATAATGAATAAGTATACGTAGTGTTATTAAATAGACAACACTGATTTTGAGATTGATAAGCGGACAAGGATTATGTACTTCAACTTATACTTGCCCGGTTGACTTTCTCAATCGGTCGAGCTAGATCGGTTCCAGCGCTGTATTCTAAATACTAGAGTTTTATGAAACGAAAAAAAATAGAATCTAGACGAAGTGCATAGGGTTAGACCGATGTTATGATGGTCTCAAAGTTGATTTTATTTGTTAAGAAATACAAGTATCATAGATATCTTTTTGAAATAGACGATTTGATTCAGATGAAGAAATCTGTCATCGATTTAATGTGTTCCCATGGAATACTATCCGTTGATTCGTGAAAGTGAGTATCATCATCTTCTGCTGTTTCATGATGATGGCCATTACTAAAATGTTGTTTATGAACATTTTCTCCAGAAAACTCATATTCCTTCATTTCAGCCTCCTCATAATGTTTCTTTTTGTTTAATCTGATCGGTGTTTTCGACGGAAGTAGGGCTTCCAGTTGCTAGAAAAACATAGATTCAGAGTTGAGATTAAATCATTCAGATGTAAAGAACAAACTTACTTGACGTTGACTGTCGGTAGTAATGAAATTTTCTTCGGGAAATTTCACATCAAAATGAATAATTAAATCTCCATGAGAATGAGTATGTCGATTGGGCATGCCATAACCTTTTAGACAACGATAGGTATTGGGTATAATAGGTTTACCAGCTGGATGCTTAATCAAAATAGTATGACCATCTAATAAATTAATCAAACGTTGAAATCCACACAATGATTCAGTCAGATTAATTTCTAATTTCATGATCAAATTATCACCATTACGATTGAAAATGGCATGTGGTTGTTGGTCAAGGATGATGTAGACATTGCCAGATTCACCATTCGGCTATGAATTGAAGATAAAAGAAAATAAGTAAGAAATAAATGATCTTTCTGATAGAATAACTTACAATTTGATTTCCTTGACCACTCAATTTAATTGTTTCTCGATCTTGACTTCCATGTGTTATATGTACATCTAATTTCTTCGTTTCTTGAAAAAGTTTTTGACCATTGCACTTTTTACATCGATTTCGCCAATCAATTGTACGACCATCACCATCACACGATGAACATTTACTTTGCATTTGTTGAATAAATGGACCCATACGATGTATAATAGTCTCAATTCCTGTTCCTTCACAATTTGTACATTCATGTGTTGTTCCATCTTGAGAACCAACACTATCAATAGGAAAAGAACAAAAGTAAATAAGTGCATCGATGAGAAAAGCATACGTACCCATGACAATCAGCACAGATAATCTTACGATTAACTGTAACTGTTTTTGTAGTACCCAAATACAACTCTTCGAGAGAAACTCTAAAAAGAGAACGTTTTATAGAAAGAAAATGAATAAAATTTTTGTTTACTTGAGAGCTTGTTTAATATCACTGCCTTTGGGTGGCGTTGATCTTTCTCCACGACTTCTTCCACCAGTGATCAGATCAAATATGTCGAAAACTAGAAATACAGAAATGGATTTATTTCTTTTTCTGAATGAGTTTCTTACTACTGGAAACCCCTGAGAATGCAGAATCACTTTCTGCCATATCTGATCGAATGCCCTTCAATCCGTATCGATCATATGTGTGTCGTTTTTGTGGATCAGTCAAGATTTCTTTTGCTGCATTCACTTTTTGCATCTAAATAGTCAATAGGTTTGTGTTATACATCATTGTCATACGAATAATCTTACCATTTCATGACTTCCACCACGATCCGGATGATGTTCCAACGACTTTTTCTTTATAGCCTAATAAATATAAAAAACTCAAATATTTTCGAAATCTTTACATGAAAATATTATCAGCATTCTTACTGCTGTTATTTGTTCTTTGGTTGCGTCAGGTTTGACTTCGAGAACATCGTAAAGAGATGTATCAGCGACCATGTTTGATGAAAATTCAGAATTTGAAATACAAAGATAATGAAACGGTTGTTGCTATTATATTCGAGTAGTGAGCAATGAAATGACGATAGAAAGATATGATGTGTCGTAAGTTGACTTTTTCCCAATGACTAATACTGTATGACACATTGTGTGATATGTCCATAAACATTGTTTCGTTTCTTTTTTTTCCCGAAAACAGGAAGAAAGAATAAAGATTTGCGTTAAGCAGCTTTCATCAGTGTTTCAAGTTCGTGCACAATATTGCATGAAGTCGTCGTTCACAGGTGATCTTTACAGGTACCATGAATACCAACATAGAATACTTTTGTACCAGACTTTAACTAATGCTGAAAGTTAAGTTTTCAGTCTATTTTTGCCATGTTTAAAAAAGATGACTACAAAAGAAATGCCCAGATCGATAAAAAATGACTGAGTGATGATTAATATGCCATAATGCATTGCATTTCTTTTTGTGGACATATTTTTCTTAATCGATGCCTGTGTAATTTTGCTATTTGAAAACTGATGACCTTATTTTTCAATTGCAGATTATTTTGAAAGTTTTTCTTGTTCGATTAGAACCTGAATGGGATAGAACGAGTCATATATGATGAAATGTATCCACTTGGTAGCTGTTATAGACACATTTCGTCTATTAAATAGTAGGCAAACTTCGAATCTATCATCCACGTCTCCTGCATCTATAAAAAAGCGCGAATGTTGATATCTGCGTACTATATCCTATAATCAAGACTCAGTTCTGTGTTTTCTATAGGTTTGCAAAGCTTATCAGTTTCTTAAAGCGTTGATTCGTATTTATGACATAAAATCTATTCATCCACAATATAAGAGGTTTCACATACAGATGTTGTATGTACAAAAAGACTAAAATATTAGACCATACTTAGTAATGACCATTTTCGAGTAAGTTGGATCATTTTATACCTGACTGTTTATCGATAAGTTTATTAACTGCAAAAGTGTTTGTTTTCATCATATATATTCATTAACTTTTTCATCGAAATGGTTCCTATTTCAAGAATAGAAAACATGTTTTTGATCAGCTATTTGTTGTGAGATTAGATCGTTCGCTTTTAAATATTCTTAAATCGATTGTACTAATTTTTTTCCATAAAGAACATATTATATTGATAACAGTTATGAAATAGAAATAGTATTTGTATATGCATCTTTAATTTCTTTATTAATAAACATAGATCGAGCTCTAGTCACATTATACATTGCAAATACAATACTTAAATAATGTTCTAATAACTTATATCGTTTTTGAATCATATCATTCATTGATATATATGATGATGGTAATACATACATTTGACATGGTAAAATATCAGTTGATCCACGATTTGAAAGTTTCAATTGTTCTTCTGTAAATTGGTGTAATACTGTATCAATAATCATCGTTGATGAAAATCTAATAGTTGTGCGATGTATCATGTCAACTGAATGATCAAAACAACTTCACAAAAAATAATTGATTTTACAATTACCTATACAGTCTAGTTTCTTCTGAATAATATTAAAACGTCAATAGATAAGATCAACTAAATTCCTTGTTTACCCTTCATTGTTATTGCCACTATTACTGACAGATAATTGAAGAATTTCTTTATTGAATGATGCTCGACATTCATGAATTTTATTTTCTACTTCACAATCGATATTGCCATCATAGCAGTCATTTTCTCTTGTATTTGTTTTTCTTCTTGATCAATATAATTTGAGAATTGATGAAAATATTTCAAATGATTAATGAAAAACAATATTTCGGAGAATATTATGAAAAAATAAAGATTTTTTTTCTTTCAATTGAAATTCTTTCTCCAAACAATGAATAAACTATTTTTAAAATGATAACGATTTATTTTTCAAAACTCTCTCCAAAAAAAAAATTTTATTTGAACGATATTTTGATTAATTATTAGATAGAATTAAGATTATTGAAAAGAATCTTAATTGAATGAAATAATATTCCAATCAATGCAATCTTAATCAGAAGAAATTAAAAAATTTTATTTAAATAAAGACGATTTTATCATCAAATAATTAAATATGATTCTATTTGACAATTATTTATTGTAAATTGATCAATATTCATTCATTATTTAAATAAAATTTCAAATTTCAATTGGAAATTCCATTTTCAACGTGTGAGTGTTGATGTGTCATTGTGTGTTCTCCTCACCCACACCCACACGCTCAACCATACTCTACACTCATATCCACATCGTCTTCTGTACGCCTACTGGTCTGTCAAAATTCTTCTTTTCAATGAATACATCGAGTTTGAGTGTGACTTATGAAATAACTCGAATCTCTATTGAAAACCTTCGAATCATAGAGTTAACAAGAAGAAACATGAAAGGATGATGAGTCTCAACGAGCAGAAACAATCGACTCAAATGACAAAGAAATGAAGACAAATTGAGAGATTTTACCTAACAAGTTGTCAGAAATGAGTCGAATTCAATAAAAGTCTGAGAGAATAGAGAGGTAATAGTGAACAAAAACAAAACGTTGAATGAAGAGATTAGTCAAACACAAAAAAAAACCTTAAAAATTCCGACAGAACGAGAAGAATTGTACAAAACAAGCTTTGATGTGATAAAACATAATCAGTTCGGTATGCAATGAACTTCACTTGCGTAATAGTGCTAAGGTAATTTGGCAAACTTCACTATTCGATTATTTCCATATTCACAAACGTACAAATTCATGTCTGAATCAAAAGCAACATCAAGTGGCTGGTTGAGTCCACTTACAACAATAGTACCAACTGAACCGGCCGTAAAACCAGCACAAAACATAACGATTGTTCCAGCACCATCATCAGCTACGTATAAGTTGCCATACGTATCGAATCGAAGATTCCATGGGTAGGTTAAACCACTTGAAACCATCACTGTACCACTGGTTGAACCTTGCGGATAACGAGTAACTGTATTTGCTGTATTACTCGTTGCGTAGACATTGCCAGATGCATCTGTTGTGACACCAACAAGTCCATTCAGAGGAATTATCAACGAGCTGGTGCTGCTAAAAAAGGGCCAAAGCATGATTCTGTTATTTATCAGGTCAGCCAAATAGATTTGACTGTTACTCATATCTACAGCCATATTAAAAGCCTGATTAAATGAACTTGATGTGTTACCCTGAACTCCAGTGCCTGCAATAGTAGATCCTCCACTTGCACCGTTTAACCATTGAAGAATACGCAAATTCCACATATCAAGAATGTACATATTCAACGATGAGTCAACATAAATTGAAGTAGGATAATTGAGTAAACTCGCTGTCCATCCGAGAGTCCCGCTTGCACTGCCGGCAACAGTGGTCCCCGACGTATCATTTGGACCCCATCGTTGAACACGATGGTTGAAATTATCCGCTATGTATAAGAAATTATTCCGATCGATGAAAATCCCCCGGGGTGTACTCAATTCAGACGCTGTTGATCCTGCTGCTCCATTATTGTTGCCTGCAACTGTTTGTCCAGTGGAATTCCAACGAAGACTACCTACAACAACACAATGGCTTTGATACGGTCAAACGATCAATCGGAAGCATTATTTCTGTATGGATCTTCTGCTTAATTTTTGCGACTGACTAAACCAAAACGATCCACAATTTATTCCTAGGGAGAAAAGCGAATTTTTCTACTTGCAGTTATTCTGCGCTATTTTAAAATACTTCGAGCGAATTTAAGCTACTTCACGCATACTTTGAACTATTTCAAGCTATTTTGAATACTTCAAAGTACTTTGAGCTGCTTCACACTACCTTAGGCCACTTTGAACTAGCTTAAGACAGTTTGAATTACTTAAAGGTACTTCAAAATTTCTCAATACAACTGTAGGCACACATTTAGATACTAGGCTATAGATCGTTTTGTCATTGCTAATTAACAATATAACATAAAAAAGTCAATGTATACGAGAGAAAAACAATACAAATTATAACATTACACAAACATTTCAATGGTTTATTTGAAAAACAAGCTGTTAGCGCAATCTCTATGGGATTAAAATGTGAAGCACAATGGAGCTGTTTCACACTGTTAAAGTGGGAATTCAGGCTTCTATCATGATCTATGATGGTCTGTGATGCTCTGTCGGCCCTATCTGTCACGTCTGTGACGGGAGAGGGGGTAGTGGATTCAAATTTCTACGCTTATACCTCAACACTACTCTTAGGTCGTGTTTCACAAAAAGATAAAAATAGAAAACGTGGATGATGACATGCGAGTTAAAACCAAAGGAAAAGAGCGCAGTTCCGGAATCATGGAATTCTATGGAGTCCGATGATATTCTTCGAACTCTAGGATTTCAGAATTTCAGTATTTCTTGCTTTCGTAGATGGCGCCGCTTAATTGGCTGGTAAAAGCTTACTCTAGAAATCCAGATTTCAGGATTCCGTTCTTTCTCTCTTGTTAATTATTCTTCGTGAACAGCAAATAACATGATGGAAGAGTTGGGATTAGGCGAGGATAATGAGGATAATAACGTTGTAAATTATGCACAAGATCCATCTATTGTGGAAACTCTGTTTGATTTTCAAAATGATGCTGTTAGTGATGATGATAAAGATATATTAAATTCAACAAAATCGGATTTTTATGGAATAAGAATAGTTGATAATATTAATCCAGCTTTAAGACAGTCGTACTTCAAAGTTAAAATAAATGACAACAGTAAGCATCTCCAGAAAGAATTGACCTGCTGGCTGTTATCGAACAAGATAACGAAATTATCAAGTGATTGTTTATTTCGTGTTATGTAACAAACAACTGATAGTAGATACTGTATATTTTTTCAATGTGATTTGATTTTGTTTCATGAATTTCCAGATCTTTGAGGATACTTTAAAGTACTTTGCTGTAATTCAAAGTATTTCTAAATACTTTGAGCTACCTCCACATACTTCGAAGTACTTTGTGATACTTTAAACTGCTTCTGTACTTTGATATATTTTTCTAATTGAACTCCACTTTCCCTTCCCCCCCCCCCCCCTAGACTTATTCTCAGCAGATAAATGTGCAACAGGAGCGAGTTTTTTTTTTAAGGAAATCAACCAACTCAATTTCGAACTGAAACTTTGGATGTTTGATAACTAACAAGCATTGAAATAAAAAGAACTGCTTAAAAAGCTAAAAGTTCACTTGAACAAATGGAATGACTCACATGAGTTGAATGTTGTTGTTGTTGTCGTAGTACTGGTCGAGGTTGACAATGACGACCCATTGGAAACTGTTGAACTTGTAGATGCTATAACAAACAAGTGACATGTTTCCATTCAATCTCAATACTTTATCATATTCTTTTTGTCAGGGATTTGAGCATTCGACCTCTTTATTGAGACTAGTTTTATTTTGTTCGCAACAGAAATAGTCGAGAGAAAATCGTCGATTTTTATCCAAGATTACTTCAAATGATCCTTCCTCAATTGAATATCGTTTATCCAACAGAATAGACTGTCAGTGTTCGCTGCGCTTTTTCTAGGAAGAAGAATCACACACGGAACGATGATTGCGACAACTGCCGTAGACGACAAAATCATTCCCAAAGATAGAGCAATTCTTCATCTCTGTGCCACGTCACGACAGAGACACTATTCAAGACCAAAGAACTGCGCCAATCGAATCAAATGACTTCAATTGACTTTTGATAGATGGAAGGTCTTTCACGTTGGTCGCGTCTCTCATCCCTTGAGAGGCCATCTAAAGAAGTTGTCGTAAAGGCATCATGACAATACTCATTACGTCAATTGTAATCGAACAAAATCAAGAGAAAAGAAAGCGAATGATAAGAACATTTTTCAGTTGGAATTGGATTATGAAAAGAAGAAAAAAAAAGGATAACCAGTGCTTTTCTTTTTCTCAATTCGTCTATTTCACAACTTCGAGTTGGTTTACTGAGACGGTCTTTTTCAAAGATTTTATTGTAAAATCATGGTACGACCTGTCCACGTGACGATCCACCTATTTCTGCAAAGTCAGAAAAAAAACGAAAATCATGCTTTCATTATATAATTTTCACGTTGTCAGATGGATGATGTCAGACGTTTTCTTAGTTGTTCTTTCAGAGATGTTATCAATTCATTCATTTCGCGGAAATTACACATAACTTTCTAACGAAATAAACGTTGATAAAAATATCCGCATTTCAAAAAGTGTTATTCCGTCATGAAGCGTTTTTATTTTTCAAATGCCGTTTGTTCATATTCTTCAAATTTTCTTTTTGCCTTTTTGTAGCCTGTCATCTAAGCTATAACTTTCCTACGAAAAGTTTTTGGTTCGCAGTTTTATTTGCGCTGAATTTTTCAGTTCTTTAGATAACACTCAAACTCAAAACCATTTTGGGTTATTCTGTCACGGGCCTATATTTCAATCCTAAAATTGTAAAGGAAGCTCTGACTCCAATGAAACTTTGAGGATATGTAGAGCAACACGACTTAAATATGTTCTGAAAATTTCAGCTTTATCTGACTTTGTTCCGCTGAAATATTGAAAATAGAAAGTGAAAAATCGTTATTCTGTCACGAATGGACAGATCGGATATTGATTTTGTCTATCTATTAACAAATGTTTATCTCGGAAATTCTGCTTGACAAAATAGCGAGACTATAATGTGTTGATATTAGGATTATCTGACTAACATACCGTTTCCAGTGGTATCTCCAACGAAACTGTTGCTTCGATTAACAAATAGAAGCAATGAAGCAATAATCGCCACAGGCGTCAACAGTAACCAGATCAGTAAACATCCCAGAGCTAGTTTGCATTTTGTACTCAACCTATATGAGACAAGTTAAATTGGTTTTTGCAAATGGAATCGAATCACCTAGTTGTCTTGCTTTGCACAGATGGAACCTTCTTCAAATTGACGTTCTTTCGTTTTGTCCTTTTAGCTGGCTAAAAAAAATGACGAACAAAAATGTATATCTTACATCAAACGACGACAGACCGTTGGCATAATGCTTCGATCGAAATGAAGGAGAACAACGTCTTATTGACGGACAAAGCAAAAGTGAATCGTTGTCGATGGTGTACTCACTCAACAGAAGAGAACTGAGCTAGCACGAAGAATGAAGAATGTTATTATTTGTTCGTTAACGTACATCGATTGAAGAAAGGTTTCGAATAACACTGAAAGAACAACTTTGCTGTTTTGTTTCCATTGATTACCTCTTTCGTGCGCACTAGAGCTCACTCATTAGAAGTAATTTTGTTCGTTTGTTTGAAGAAATAAAAATGTAATCCATTCAAATGCATGTTTGTGTTTTACATTCATTTGTCGTCAACGAAAATACTCGCACACAATTTTTGTCGCCGTGATGAAATCAGTCTGTTTTCTTAAAAATTTGTCCGCAGCATTTATGGACACCATTGGAATATTTTCAACCTGAAACGGTCAATTTTGGAGAAGAGATCTGAGGCTAGATGAAGCATCTAAATTGATCGTTTTTTTTCAAGGATCTCAGAATCTACCTGAATGGATAGGACAAGAGCTCACTTTTGATCCGATAGGTTTCTGTTAGTGAGTACAGCAATGCAGCTAAAAGACAAATCTTTAGTATGACCAAATGTGGAGTGTGAGCGGATGTTGATGTATCATACAGAAAGACCCACACTCCACACCATCACGCTCAGCCACAGCTACACCTATACCCGATTTCACTATGGTTTCGGCCATAGAAACCGTCGATTTGGATGATATTATGAGGATAGATTTTTGTTATTATAATGAACATGTTCAATCTTTATTCGCTAGTCTTTGTAATGTTTGTAAATGTCAGTTTATGCTCAAAGATCATATGAACTTTGCTCTAATTTCGGTCGAGTGTTTTCAGATACATAGTATCTGAAGAAGCAATATAATGCAAACGCATCAAGCAAGTATCAGAGGGGATGATCGTGAATAGCTGGCTCTGGATCTCATCATCGGCTACTGGGTTACGACATGTTCCAGATAAAGAAAGCCAACATTAACGTGATAAGACTAATAAATGCCCACATGTTTGTATGATGCAACTTTCGAAAGACGGTGTGGATGTGGGTGAAGAGAAAATTATCATCCAGATCCACACCCACACCCCACACCTAATATAAGAATGTTGCTACTCTTCAATTAAATCTAGTAACTACCACTATTATGATACCGCCAATCCTTCAGACATTTAGACTTTTGATATTTCAAAATTTTTATCTATTTATTTGATGGGTACCACAACACAGAAAAACTGAAATTACATTACTTTGAAAAACAGGAGAAGGTATTTCTATAATATCACGATAATGAGTACGGATTACCTATAACCCCTCCTCACTTAATAGAAGACTACATTAATTATTTAAGTTTTCGAAAACTGAAAACTTTAATTAGTCTATTTACATGAAAAAATGCTTAGTTTTCAGGATCTTGAACTGAAAATCTTAGAAGAGTAAGTTCCACATTATGTCTAGGCATTTAAAACTCCAAAAATCTTTTCTCACATCTTGAAAGTCGCTTCAGACTTCTGAAAAACTTGATTAATTGAAAATTGGGAAAATATACTCTAAAAAAAGCGTCTTTTCCAAACCAAAAAGAATCTTCGAACAAATAAACGGGAAATTCTTTTTAGCTTGGTAGAGAAAAAAGAGTTTCGTATCAAGCCTATTCTAGAAATCTACAGAAAAAGTTCCGAACAAACCTTTCGTACAGAACCTCTTTTAGCAAACAGAAAAAATGTTTCGTATCAATCCTGACCTCTATATCATAAGACTTATCTAAGTATTCCTATATCCTCACATCTATAGTCATATGACTATATCCTTATGATCATATTCTGATACCTGTAGCCTTTTGTCTATAAGCTTATTCATATAATTACATAGTTAAACCTATACGCTTACACATATACCATTTTAGTTATATACTTATAACCTGTGCATGTATACCTATGTTCCCATGACTGTATGCTCATCATTTTAAGGTGTTGACTACATGCTTCAATCTATACTCATTCTCTTATACTTATACCTTTATTGCTATATCCGATATTGTGCAGACTGCTCAAAAACCACCAGATAAGCAAGGTAAATCGTTCACTTTACCGCGGTTCTTCTTCTTAATTTTTTTTCTATCACAATGGATGACTAATGTTAAGCGCTTAGAAAAACATTGTATTTTAGTCGAAACCGCGTCGTATTATTATTGTGAGCGCTATCTAGCTGCCTGTACCAATTACATCGACCGTCTCCACTTGGTTTTTGATTTAGATTCTTTATTGAAGATGCATCACAAAAATATTTAGTTGTTAAAGAAATTCATTAATAGGGAAAATTGTGGTGTCATCTAGCACAATATATTATAGTATATTAAAATGATCTTTTTTTGAGTTGCACTCGGTCTTTTCAAGGCTCAAAATGTCAATTTAATAAACGAACTATTAAAAAAATTCACAAAAAGGGATAAACCGTTCGAACTATCTGTTTTGATGAAAAATAAACGACATGGATCTTTCTATCTATGTGCTCATCTTTCACTATCTATTGCCCTTGTCCTCAAGAATAGTATTTATGCTATGTGTACAATAAGCTTTTATAAGTTTAAAATGTAAAATCGATAAGATGATAAATATACAAAAAAGTTCGGTTGTGAATTAAAGCTGCTCAATGATTGTACGTAATATTAGACTTGTTGTTCTGAGAAATTTTCGTTTTTGTTTGATAATGATATCCTCCTTTGTATATCGAACATATGTTCTGGTTTTGCTGCATATTGTATAACTATCTCAACAAAATTCTGATTGACATTGGAATTCTCGATAAGATATCGATTCTGATAAGTTCTTAGTGACATGTAGTTTTTCGTGTTTTTGACCGTTATACATGTCCTCTTTGTAGCTCGATACTGTATTAATTATTTTCTCGATCTGGTAGGTAAACTTTAACCATTGTTCTCGCTATCTAGATTTCGTCGCGCTGCATTTCTTCCGTTAGTTTCATTTCTCAGAAGTATGTGCATCTATTTCTCTGCGATTCTTTTTCACATTTTCATAATTTCTAGCGATAATTTCCAACGTTTGGTTGTACGACTGAACAAATAAGGATTTTAAAGTAAATAAAGTAGCGAGGCTAACGATAAATCAGACGTGGACGTGGCAAACAGATAAAAAAAACATTCGATAGTGTGCAGAACCATATACGAATTTTAGGAAGCACACGAAGACTGTTAATAGTTAACGGAACTATGCAAAGTTTTGTATGAAAAACGCAGAATCTTTCCATAGTTTACGAAACTATCAATGATTTTGTGTAAAATATACGAAACCATTAAACAGTTAATGCAATGAAGAATGATTTTGTACAAATAATAGAAAACCTTCAGATATACTATCTAACTATTGACAGTTACTCATAGAAGGTACGAAATCTTTACATGGACAACGAGACTAAAGATGGTTTCGTCAATATATTATGAAAATGTTCGAAATTCTACGAAGCTATCAATGGCTTAGATCATGATTTATATAGCTATCATAGGTTTAGTTCATGATGTACGAAACCGCGAATGAATCTGTGGAACTCGCAGAAGATTTCATACAGAACTTTTAGAATTCAGGGTTAAACTGATTCTGTAGAGTGTATTCATACGGATTCCAGTGTTGGTCGTCAAAAATCTAGACTGTTCCTCGTTTTGTCGTTCGCAGTAGTTGACTCAGTTCAAAGTAATAAGAATCTTTATGTCATGTCTCTTCTTAATATCACTGGCAACTATTGTTTTTCAACTGAAATATCGACTACATGCTGTCTATTCATGCAAAAAACTTCGACTCAAAAGTCTAAAGCTCAGCATCATTCTTTTATATACAAAAGATTATATTATGGTAAAACCGATAAAATTTCCACACTCACCCGTTGAACTTGTTAGTACCAGGGCAACTGGGATGGCGATTGCTGCACCAATTACACATAGGACTATCCCAGCTATAAGTGTTTTACGTGCAGTTGATGCAAGCAAGCCTTCATTAGTTTCCCTAGAACACGATGAAGATAACTAATACATCAATTTCATTGCCTCACTATTTACTTCATAGTCGACGGAATTTCGTCAATCGCGGAAATATCAGCATTGATTGACTGAGGAGGCTCATACGATTTTGCCGATGCTGGCGGCGAACGACTTTGCTATTGGCATTGGAGAGATCATTCTTGATTTTCTAAATTCTCGAAATAACTTACCAACTTTAGTAATCAGGTGTATTTGGGCGCATAATCACCAGCGACAGCTGCGCTACTCGTAGGCATCTGCCGTTTTTCTGCTTATGAATTTCTTCAATGCTCACAGCGCCTTATAAAACGCTGTTGTGTAACGTTGTAACGAGACATGCCTGTTTTTCATCGATACTTGCTGATGGCACATTGTTGAGCATGTTATTTACACAAGTTAATGCAATTTCAAACGATGTATTTTTCGCCTGTTTCTATTATGATAGAAGTACTATGCACATTGCGCATGTGAGCGTTGTAAGAATCAGAGATGAAAACAAATGGGATAAAGCGGATTGTGAATCTTCATGAATTCTATAGATTCTTGTGAGATTTCGAGGATTGTCAGGATCTTACGATAGAGTCAGCTATTAAATTCTAGAAAGTCTAACGCATGTTATTCTCAATTGCTATATTTACTAAAAAACAATTGATTAAATTCAGATGCATTAAGCTGGTCTTTTTTAATATCATAGGATTGAACTATATGAAATACAATGATTTTAAATAGTTTTTCTAAAAGAATTTTTAATTTGAATAATGAATTAATTGAATGAAGATTTAGATAAACATGTCGATGAAAAAGATATGCAATAACATTTGTTTGATTACAAATATCATCATAAACTTGTCAGAAAACGACTTGATCAGAATAAAATTTTACATGATTAGACAAAGTTCAAGTTCATGATGACAATAAGTAAAATAAATGTTGATATGAAGAGAAATTGAGTTCAGAATTAACAAAATACGCCAATTAAGTAAAGCAAATACAAAAAAAATATGAGCTGCATCTAAATACTCTAATATTTTCAAAAATATTTCGTTTGATAAATCTTCTAATTGAGTAACAATAGTCATTTTATTGACTTTCGAACATACAATATGGAATAAGAAGATCAATTAGAACTTGAAAATAATCAATTATCATATTTACTATACTAAAGCATGTTTAATACTCTTTATGTTAAAAAAAACAAAAGATACAAAAAGTTTCTTTAGAATATTTGACAGTTTTGGCTTTTAATTTGACTTTGAAACTTTCTAAGATAATTTGTTTTGTATTTGTCGTTTACCTCTTGACATGTTCACTGATGAATTTCTTTGGGTGTGAGCGTGTGAATGTGGGTATGGGTGAAGAGAAAACCCTTGCTTACACCAACAACTACAAACACGCCCGTCTACAAAAAGTTTCATCTCTAAATGATCAGTAATCATATAACTGGACATATAATAATATGAATTAGTTAAGTTTTATTCGAGTATGTTCTTTAGACGATCTTTTAAATAGAATTATATCTTTTTTTCCGAATTGTCTAATACAACTGAAACTATAAAAATAGAAATAGCAGATCACGAACTAAATTTTGATAAGTAAAACTTTTTAAAATTGAAATGCCTAAAAAATGAAATGCTTATTTAACGACAGATAGCTGTCATTGGTCATGTGAAATACTTATCATTTTAACGCGCTGAATAATTTTTCTTACGAAGTATCATATTTTCAAAAGAGCATCAGACATTACATAAAATAGTTAGTGATTTAAAGTGTTACAAAAATGGATATTATTTTTGATTTTGTGAGATCTTTTTATGGAAAATGGCTGTGCTTGATGCTCTTTTGAATAGGATATTGAACAGGAAAAAAATTGTTCAGTACGTAAAAATGATGAAGAATCTATATGAACAATGCTAGCCATTTGTTGTTCAATAAGCATTTCATTTCTTAGGTATTTCAATTTCAAAAAGTTTTACTTATCAATACTTAGCTTGTGATCTGCTCTTTCTATTTTTATAGTTTTAGTTATATTAAACAATTCGAAAAAAAATATATAATTCTATTTAAAAGATCGTCTAAAGAACATGCTCGAATAAAACTTGACTATTTCATATTATTATATGTCCAGTTATACGATTACTAATCATTTAGAGATGAAATTATCTGTAGACGTAGTATGAACACTGACTATACTTTTTATGTAAACTGTACCTCAAAAGTAAGCTTTACAAGAAGGTCATACTTACAATAAGATTATAAAAAAAGGTTTTTCCAGTATTGTATTAAAACCAAATTTGCATTAATGACGTATCTTCTGATCGATATCTGTGCTCTCGGACATAAAAATGCTAGTAGCTTTAAAAATGTTCAAAGTCAAATCAGTTACTATTGTGAATGGAACTGTTTAAATCAAATTTGACCTACAGATTCTAAACATAGATTGTATCAGATATACTTGTTGACTCTTTTGTAAAAGAAGCATAATAGAGATGAGCCATAATCAAGTGTTTTTAGTGGTTGCAACTGTCTATTTCATTTCACGAACAATAATAATATACTAAATCATGCTTGAATATCTTTCGATCAAGCGATGTAAGATCTAATTTCTCTAATATGTTCATAAAGAAGATTCACGAGATACAGTTGAAGATGTAAAATTTTTTTGCTGATACAGTCACTTTTCATTTCATTGATTTATCAATGAATTTCAAATGAACATAAATATGAACAAGATAATATATAATAAAGATCTGGTCGAGTTCAAAATAAGAATCAATAACAAAAAAAAAATAATTCGAAAATAAAATTTCCCCAGTATTTTTTTCAATATTTTGAAGATGATGAATTTACGTATTTTAGATCACAGTAATCAATATGAATGTTGGTTTTAAATCAAAATAGATTGAATCAAGTATTGAAGAGGTATAAAAATTGTTTCTATATGACAAACTTTAAGAACATCCGATATTTCTATTATACTATTGTAACATTCTTTTAATGTATATTAATGCTGATTAAGTTTCCTTCTTGAATATAATATTTAATTAAGAAAAAATTACATTAAAAGATTTTAGTAGAATAAAAATCATATCATAAAGAATTGAAAGGAATAAATGTAGAGAAAAACAAAACAGTAGATAAAATTTTTTTTCAAATCTTAAACAAAATCAAAAATCGCGAATAATAAAAAAAAACGTTTAATGAATAAATGTAATAACGGTGAATAATAATCTTTTCAATCATCTCTTAGATAAGGAAAAACTAGCTAAGAAACAAAAAATAAATAATCATTTAGATTACATGCAAAAGAATTGAATAAATACTTACCGTCAATAAAAATAAAATGTCATGACAATATTCATGACAATAAATATTGATGAGATCAAAGTAATTTGTCCATGCGATGGTTGAGTTATCCCACCATCAATATCTAGGTTAGAAACACGTATAGTAAGTTCATATGTTGATAATAATTGATATTGAGTATCCTGAGCAGTAACACGTATTACTGTTTCACTATTGTTTAAAGTTGGTATTTCCCAATAAAAAAGTGCTGTTTGATTATCAAAACTGGCAGATGATGGTCCTTGAATTAGATTATAAGTTATATATGAAGTGTATGGACTAACAGCAGTGAAATTGATAGTTATAGAATTTGAATCATTCATAATAAGAATAAGTGGTAAATCTGAATTAAATTCTGGTGGATAACGTTGATCAATAGAAATTTGAACAACAGTTTCAGCTGCTATTCTTGATGTACGTCCAAGAGAAATATCATTTGTAACTGCAATATCATAGAAACATGTTTGTTGAGCAGTTGTCCATGATGATCGATTTGTTAATGATGGATCTATATTACATATTGAAAGTGTCAAATTCAATTGAGATGCTGAAGGTTGAGGTAATGTAAATGATGGAATATATAAAATATTTTGATTAGCATAATTTATTGCTGAATCACCCATTTCATAATAGAAAAGTGAGTCATTTGGATCGATAGCCCATAGTTGTCCAAACTGTTGATGAATTTGTTGAAGAGTAAGTGTATTAGGAAGACCTACTATAGTTCCATTTGGTGTTCGAAGATCATTATTTGGATTATTATCATATAAACCAAGTAAACCAAATGTACGATTTTGATGTAAACCAGCAACTGATACACCAATATTAAGTACTAGACCATCTGTTATTGAAATAGGTGTTATTTGAATACTAACACCAATAAACCATGAAAGTGTAAGAACACCACTAGTTTGATTACGTTCTAAAGTCATTTCAGGAAAAAAGAGTACGATAGAATTATTTGTAGATATTGTATCATCATTTGTTGTATCAAGATCAAGTGTTTCATTATCTCGTCGAATAATTAATATATTTCGTCTCGAAACAGTAATACTCATACGTTGTGCAAGAGAATGATTAGATTTAGCTGCAAAACCACGAATAACAGTAGCACTATCATTGAATGAACTAAGTGTTGTTGTACGTATTTGAGAATTAAATATAAGAGTTTGTATCAATGGATTAAAAGCAGCATTAATTGATGTTGAAACATTAGTAATAGCTAAATAGATATATTCACCATAACCATTGAATGTATATGCTGAACCATCAAGAGTAGTAAAATGAGGATCACCCCATGTACCAGCCCATGCATTCGGTGAATTACTACCTCGGCGAGGTGGTCTTAATTCAAAATATCTTGTACAATTTTTTTCATTTGAATTTAAAAGGCAACAAGCAAGAAATGGTAATGTATCACTAAAGAAATGAAGAATTGGAGATAACGCTGGTTGATAACGATTATCTGTTCCAGCACCTGTACCATGAGTTATCAATTGTCCATTACTACTATAACAGCATTGAGTACCTGCATTCCATTGATTGGTTGAACGTGATAAGTAACATGCAATAGCTGATAATTCATCACGATTAGATCGTCCACGATGAAGATTACAATTAATTGCTGAATTATAACTATTTTCATTACATAAAGGATCTGGTTCATAACAACAACGTGCAACACGTGCTTGAGCAATTGTTA